AGCCTCAGGCAGTCAGGGGATGTGTTCTGGAGGCAGCTGAATCTAGTTTGTGATTGGAGCATGAATGCTAGGCCCACCCTAGGGCTGGTAGCCTGCATACAACAAAAGAGGCTTGCCCCTCCTTTTTGCTCTTGTTTTTGCTGTCTTCCACTGCCATGAACTGTTGCCCCCTGCCTTGGAGCAATCTGATAATGAAACCTCCACAAACTGTAAGCTAAATAAACCTTTCCCTCTTTAACTTTGGATGTTGGGTATTTTGTCCCAGCAATGAGAAAAGTAAGACATCCATCTTTTTTCTACTCATCTCACATATAACCCAACTTATGCATGGGAGCTACACCCAAGTCCCCCTCAGGTGAAACAGGATCTGTCAGCCAGAAAATGTGTTAGTTAGCTTTGGGGCAACCGCCTGCCCCTGACCAACCAGTTATGGCCCTGAGGCACACCTTCCACTGATCACAACTGAATCTGCCCAGGGCTGGGGATTTAGCTCAGCAGCACAGCGCATGCCTGGCAAGTGCAAGTTGTGAGTTCAATTCCCGGTACCGGAAAAACAAAACAAAACAAAACAAACAAACAAACTGAATCTGCCCAAAACAAATCCATACTTTCCAGAAAGACCAAATCACAAGAGTGCTCCCAAATATAACTTGCTCTTGCTATTCCATTCTCTTGTATGATTTTCTCTGCCTGAAATGTACTTTGCTGGCATCATCCTTTCTGTAGCATACTAAAGAATACACACAAGGCCTCATGCGAACCATGCACTCTACCGTGAGTTATAGCACCAGCCTAACAGATATGGTCAGAAACAGGAAGGGGCTGAGGACATAGTTCAGTGGTGCAGCGCCTGCCTACAAGCGAGATATCCTGAGTTCAATTTCCAGTACCAAAAAAAAAAAAAAAAAAAAAAAAAAACAGGAAAACTGAGTGACCCACTCCCTTCTTCTCATTCAGCCATGTGCACACCACCACCCTGGTGTTTATCATATTTAAGCGTAGGAGGTTGTGGTGCCTGAGGCAGCAGATCCTTAGGTCCAACACCAGTGAAAGATGAAAAGGGAGACACCTGGAGTCAGAGGTGCCTGACCACAAGGGAGGCATCTGACGTTAGAGACGTCTGACCTTTAAATACTGGAAGCCTGACTTGTGATGAGGTTCGAGAGTTCCTCTTCCTTCTGCCTGTTTCTGCTAGTACCCCATGATCCTCAATAAATGCAGCTACTTACTACAGGGTCTGCACTTGGCAATTCTTTCCTTGTTGTACACAAGAACCTGGTATTTTGGCCCATTTGACTGTAAAATAACCTTGTGAGTGTGCAGCCCAGCGGCATTTAGTACATTCACACTGCTGTACAAGCTTCACCACAAGCCCTGAAATATTTTCATAATCCTGAAAAGAAACTCCATGCTCTTTAGCAGTCACTTTCCACCACTCCAGCAACGACCGTCTTCAGTTATCTCAGGTATACACCTAGAAATGTATACTAAATATATTGGAATTGCTGGTTCATAAGGTAGCTCTTGGTTTAGCTTTCAGAGACACTGCCAAACTGTTTTCAAAAATGGCTGCAGCACTGCTTTGCAGTGCCACCAACAATGTATGGTTCCAATTTCACTATACCCCTGGCAAGAGTTGTTACTGTCCAATTCTTTATTATAGCCATCCTGGGGATGTGAAGAGCTGCCTCTGTGGACCAACCTCTTCTAACTCATTCTTCAAAATGCAGCCCAAATATGACCGTGGTGAAATTTTATCATATGCTCCAGGGCAGCTGTAGTTACCCGTTAGTACCACAGTACCAGTTTATGCCTCCGTTGTACCCACTCATGACCTACAGTACTGAGCAAGCACCACCCGAGGTACTAAGAATACAGTGGACAAGCTTGAAGAGGACAACCATCCCCTCATGGAGATTACATTCTGGTGAGAAGAAAAGTTAAAAGTTTGTGAGATTCTGAGAAGTGCTACAGAGAACACTAAAGCACAGTGGAGCAATAGCATACCAGTGACAAGGTAGTGGCAATTTTAAATAAAGTGGTCAGAGAAAGCCTGACTGAAGTTATATGTGAGCAGGAACTGAGAAGTTTGAGGTGTGAAGGAGGCAGTGGATCTGAGTCTCTGGAGACTAGAATCCAGGCAGGGAAATGAAGGCACTAATGAAGAGCCAGCTCAAAGTGAAGTGTCCATTAAACGGTTAAAACTTGCATGCGTGCTGTCCCAAAGATAAACATCTGTTCTAGTTTTCAACTCACTTTAACAAGTTACCCCAAACTTAGTAATTTAAAACAAACTATCTTACAATTCTGTAGAAGGCCCTCATGGGGTTAAAATGAAGGAGTTGGCACATGAGTTCCTTCTCAGAGAATGTTTCCTTGCTGGTTCCAGGTTCCTCAGGCTGCTCACAATCCTTTGCTTGTGGCCCATTCCTCCATCTGCAAGCCACCAATGTTCAATTCTTCTAACCTTGGCCAGAAAAGGCACTCGTAAAAACCTATGCTACTAGGTCAGGCTCTCCTCAATCATCCAGGATGATATTCTTCCCATCTAAAAATACTAAACTAGCCAGGCACGGTGGCACACACCTGTAATCCCAGCACTCAGGAGGCTGAGGCAGGAGGATTGTTGCAAGTTCGAGACCAGCCTGGGCTACAAAGTGAGGTGAAGGCCAGCCTGAACTGCGTAGGGAGACACTATCTCAAAAACACAAACAAAAAATAAAAATACTAAACTAGGTGGATGGGAATATAGCTCAGTGGTAGAGTGCTTGTTTAGCATGCACCACACCTTGGTTTCAATCCCCAGCAATGCAAGACAAAAATAATAATCCTAAACTCAATCACATCCTCTCACCATGTAAATCTCTCACCATGTAAGGTAATAGTCACAGGTTCCAAGGATTTAGGATGTAAACATGAGGGGACACTATTGTGCAAATTAACTGAAGCATTTTAAAGGAGTCATTGCCAGGCTTGGTGGTACACGCCTGTAATCCCAGCACTCGGGAGGCTGAGGCAGGAGGATCATTGTGAGTTCGAGACCAGCTGGGCTACAAAGTGATCTCAAGGCCAGCCTGAACTGCATAGTGAGACCCTGTCTCAAAAAGACCGAAAAGAAGAAAAAAAAAGTCATCAACTATATTGTGTTGATATGTCAAAAGGTTACAAAATGAGCTGGGGATTTAGCTCAGTGGCACAGCACCTACCCAGCAAGCACAAGGTCGTGAGTTTAATCCCCATTACCAGAAAAAAAGAAAAAAAAAAAAAAAAAGTTACAAAATGGACATGGGGGCACAGTCAGCACCGTGTCACTGAGTTCAGCACTCACATAAGGCAGAATTACCTTGAGTTCAAGATCAGCTACATAGTGAGTCAAGGTCAGCTTGAACTACACAGTGAACCTTCTCAAAAACAACAAAAAAAAAGGTATGAGACTTGACCATAGGATTAAGCACTGAAGAGATTCTGATGATCTATGAGCAGTCCCCATGGAGTAAAAATCCTCTCTGGAGTTGGCTCACAAGAGAAAAGTGGAGCATATAGGTTGTATTTTGCTATAAAGGGAAGCAGAATGGTAGGTAGATCTGGGGTCAAATGAGGTTTTTGATATGGAAGGATTAACAGCACATTTGTAGGCTGATGGCAAAATGTAACAGAAGGAAAAGTTAACAAACAGGACAGAACATTGACTAAATCTGGGCCCTTTAAACAGGTAAGGGATGGAATCAAGTATACAAGTGGAAGAGCTTGCCTTAAATAAGGAAAGGACAATCTGTCTACAGTAACTAGAAGACAGCACAGATGCAGGTGGGTGGATAAATGTGATGACAAGAGCCTGTGGCTTTTTTTTTTTTTTCCTATCTTCTAAATTTAAAACCAGGTCAGAAGCTGAGTGACGACGGGAAAGGTGCTACATATGTAAGTCTTAGCTGATAGTGTGGAGTATTCCAATAATCACAGCTACATGGGAGGCTGAGGCAGGAGGATTACAAATTTGAGGATAGCCTGAGCAATTTAGCAAGACCCTGTCTCAATTTAAAACAACAAAAACCAGGGATGTAGCTCAGTGGTAGAGTGCTTTCCTAGCATGCACAAAACTCAGGGTTCAATCCCCAGGAGATACATACAAAACAAAAAAAAAACCATGTCTATTAAGAAAAAAAGCAGCTGGGCACAGAAGCACTTGCCTATAAATCCCAGCACTCAGGAGGCTGAAGCAGGACTTCCGCTAAGTTCAAGACCAGCCTGAACTACACAGCAAGACCATTTCGAAAAACAAAGAGCAAAGACCAAATAGGATAGAGCAATGTAGTAAGATTATGACATGATTCTAAGGTCTACATGAGGTCAAGACATAAGAGACTGAACTAGCACATTCAGTTGCAAAAGTGCCTCAAGTTCAGAGAAAATAGAGTACTAAACTTAACCAAAAATGGAGTTTGGCAGTATTATGAAGGAAGTTTTCTCTATAGCCAAGATTATCAGAATAGACCACAGAACCTTAATAGCTGTGGTAAGAACGAGGTAAGGACACAAGTTGAGAATTAGGCAACAAGACCAAAGAATTTTAACAAAATACTACAACCACCATTAACTACTTACGCCTGTGTATCTGATTACTCTCGCTAGACTGAGCGAACTTCTAAGTGGGATCACTGTCTTACCTCAGCACATACATTTGCTATCTGGGTGGGTGGATGGTCACTCATAATTAAAGGGCAATCCCCCAAGGTGTTTCCAAAAAATCACTTGGAATGAGATGCTGAACTCTTATGCTGCGTTCAAACTAGAGAATGTACTATTTGTATCAACTATGATAAAATTTGCCCTTATTTGAACACCTGAGTAGCAGAACTCACTGATCTTCCCAATCTTTATTTCAATTCCTTGAAGTAAATTAGCAGGCTTCAAAACAGGCCTTGAGAATAGGAGGCAGAGAAAGGGGGAACAGGCACAAACAAGACTCAATTTGGGGGTAGAGAGGAAAAAAACGCACAAAAAGCGTGTAAAATATGTTTTATTGTTCTTTAAAAGGGGTCAGGGTTTGGTTTTAAATCAGGCTGCACACCTTTCATCAGTCTGACATCTCTCTCACCATGTCAAACTGGCTCCAGCTAACAATACTTCATTTAATCCAAAAGAAAAAAATTGTTCTAATTTTTAGGGAAAAAATCCAGTTCTAAGAACAATTAACATTAGTCTGTAATTTAAGACAAAATGAGGGCTAATGTTTCATGTTGCTTTATACACACTTCTCACACAGAACTAGGAATGTAGTTCTCCTAACTCAGGCAGGCACTGATACTGATGGGATACTACACACACACACACACACACACACACACACTTCCGCCAAACAAAATTCAGAGCATGTCAAATGGAAAAGGTTGGTGATGGTATTGACCAAAACCCTTGGAGGCAACAGTCTATCTGAAATTAGAGGGTATGATGTTTTGATCTTGAATCTATGGTAAAGAAACCTACTGTTGTGTTCAGAAATAAAAATTTTGTATAGTACCATCATTTTTTACTTTAAAATTCTAGAAACAATGTCAAAAAGCATTATTTTGTTTTATTTCCTGGGATGAGGGAGGAGAGAATCTACAGGTTTCCATTTAGTTAAAAAAATCAAAAGAACTCCGGCACTAGGAAATAGGCAGTTCACACAGCCGGCCAACGTCTGAGGTATCATCGATGTGAGACAAGGTCCCAGTCCATTCCTACGGGCCCAGGTAATGCTTACAAAGTGGGACCCTTTGGCTCTGCACAGAAATGTCAGCAGGATAAGGTGACTCTAAGCCTGTATTCAGAGCCTTAGAAGCAGGGCACTAGTAAGTGTGCAATAGTTAAGTGAAGAGAGTGCAGAAACCCGAGGGTGCCTCTCCACTTGCTCTATCAATACACTCTGGTTATTGCTGCCTTCTGAAAATAGGGACTAAACAGCTTTTCTAGATCAACACACTGAATCCAGCAGGGACTCTACAAAAAAAAAAAAAGCCACTACACCATTTCATCACCAACAGTCCCTCTGCTACTCCCTGGGTTACTCGATGTCTCTCTTCTACCCTATTACAGCCTGTGGGCACCTACTCAATAGGTGTTGCTGGTTCTGAACCAGTCGTTTTTTTTTGTAATCTCAAAGTGAACCTAGTAAGAAAATAACAAGGCAATTGGTGGTTAAACTGAACTGTACATATAGGGAGAAGTCTGGAAAATAACCACCATAGGCCTTTCTCAAGAACAAAACATGAATTTGCTGTTGCTCCTTTGACCATTTCTGAAAATTCAGAATACAAATAATTTCTAAAATAAAAATTTTAAACTGTCAGAATTCTCTGACATCGTAAGACAGAAAATCAGAGCAGTGCTACAGCCCGCAGTTGGATAGTGTGTAGAAAGTGTGCTGATTCTCTGCCTGGATTTATCTTTAGTGATGGTGCAGAGTTGTCCTCTTCAGAAAACAAGTTTCCGCAATACCTGCTCTTAGCTTCATTCACTGGGAAAGAGAACTCTCTACTCTCAGCTAAGCTCTTTGAGGAGAAAGACTCATCTTCAAATACCATTTCCCCACTAATTTACCAAAACAAAAGGCGTTGACTACTTTGCCTAATGTTAGATCAGAGCTTTGAGGAAAAGAAACTAACATGAACACCCCATCAATAAAGACTAAAAACCACCTGGATCATATAATATAATTAATATAATATATATATATGTCTTTTTTTTTTTTTTTTTTTTTTGGTGTTTTTGTTTTTTTCTAAAAGTGCCCAGGTGGGCTTAAGGCTGCCAGACTGCACGCAAATCTACAGCAACTAGGGCTTCTCCTATTCCATCTATAATGTGTATCGGGGAAGGGAGAGGACAGGAGAAAGGAGAGGAGGAAAATATACCTTTCTTTCCCCTAAAAAAAAAAATCCCACCACTGGGAGATCTACGTGCCAAGCACAATGGAAGAATGTGCTCCCCAAACAGATGGTTATGCACAGGCTAATATTTTGCTGGTTTTCTTTAGAGACCTATTTTGAAAAAGTTAAAAAAGACAAGAGATTTTGAAATAATTCAATCCTGCCTGAAATTAAAACTCCAAAATTAGGAGCAAAATCATCCTTCACTGAATTAATCCCTTTTCTCTTTCTCTTTTTCTTTTCTTAAACATTTTATTTATGTTATGAAGGGATTTCTTTTTTGTTTGCTTTTTTCCGATCATTAGGAGAGTGGTTGAGGAGTATTGAATCCATCATCACTACTTTGATGACACAGGTAAGATTTCAGATTCACATTTCCAGGTAGCAAGAGTCCCCTCTAAATGCCACAATCAAGTAAGCCTTCGTCTACGTTTCTTCCTACTGAACACAGCAATGCCCATTGGTATCTCTGAAGCGTAATCGCATCTTAGGTCGGTATTTCTCCAAGTAAAGCAGCTGTTTGGAATTGAATGCGCCTCTTCTTTTTCTGAAATTACAGGAATAGCAAACTTTATTATACTTTAAAAAAAAAAAGGGCCAGAGATATAGCTCAGCAGCACAAGCACGTGCCTGGCAAATGCAAGGCCCTGAGTTCGATTCCCAGCACCAAAAAAAAAGAGAGAAGAAAGAAGTTGTATGAGTCACTGAAAATGCATTATTTATGTCTTGAAGTTTTTCTACTAACTCCACCCTGCTGAAATGAGCATATTTCCCATAAGACATCACTTTTTAACAATCTAAACGGCAAAATATAGGCCAAGCGTGGTGGCACACACCTGTAATCCCAGCACTTGGGAGGCTGAGGCAGGAGGATCGTTGCAAGTTCGAGACCAGCCTGGGCTACAAAGTGAGCTCAAGGCCAGCCTGAACTGCACAGCGAGACCCTGTCTCAAAAATAAATAACTAAATAACTAAATAAACGGCAATATAAATAAGCTTTGTGAGTCTTCTTAGAAAGAAGATCAGAAAATCTTTGTGTACTGATATTAGTCTATTTAAATAAAGATCAGAATGGTTTATCCAGAAACATCTGACTACACTCTTCCAATTAGATTAACATGCCTTCTGATCAGCAGCAAATATTAAGGATACTGAAAAAAAAAAAAAAAAAAAGAGCTAGACATGGTAACATACACAAGTAATCCCAGCACTTGGGAGGCTGAGGCAGGAGGACCACTGCAAGTTCAAGGCCAGCCTGGGCTACGTAGCAAGACATTGCCTTAAAAAAAAAAAAAAAAAAAAATTCAGGCATGGTGGGGCATGCCTGTGATACACTCTTGAGAGCGAAGTTAAAGGATCATAAATTTAGGCTCAACCCATACAACCTCGCAAGACTCTGTCTGAGAATAAAAAAATTTTAAAGGCCTGGAGATGGGGCTCAGTGAAGACCCTGGATACAGCCCCCAGTACCACCATCACACAACCTCCACCCACCTGCACAAAGATGTAGCAGCAGGTTCCAGACATACACAGAAATGTAAACTATGCTAGAGTTACTACCATACATTTCATGCCCTCTTTCAGTCTTTTTTCTTAAGGGCTAAAAGGAAAAAAGCAAAAAAATAATTGCCGAAGAATTCCAGAAAACAAAATAGCATGGGCCTGTTATTTCTGACTAATGCCAAAGTTTTGTCTGCACACTACCATCCAGATTTTGTGTGGGAACTGGTCACGTAGCTGTCCCAAGTCACTGAATTGTTCCTCTGCATATTCTTCTTACATCTTGGTTATACAAGGCTGCATTTGGAAGATATTCTGGAATCTATTAAAAGGGCCACTAATCAATAAGATGTTATCTAACTGTTCATTTTTCAAGATTCTTAGACATTCAAAGCATATAATGGACATAACCTAAAATGCCCAAATCTGACACCCATCTTTAAACCTAGGAGCCAGTTATTATTGAGTCTCTTTATCACTTGCTCTAGTTTTTCTCCCCTGTGGTGCTGGAATCAAACCCAGGGTTTTGTGCATGCTAGGCAAGTGCTCTTCCGCTAAGCTACAGCTCAACCCTGCTCTAAATTTTGTGTACCTTCAATCAAACAATATTTTAAGTTGGAACAGCAAATTATTCTATACAGCAATTTTCCATAATTCCTTCCTCAAGCGTAAGTTTGCTTTATGTGTCTCCACACTAAAACCTCATACTCACTGTCTTATAAACTGAACTGCGTCTTCATACTTCATTCCACATTCAATCAAAGCAAGTGCAACCAACACAGGGGCCCTGCAAACAGAAACACATCTGTAAATACCCACAACATTTTGAAAATGAAGAATTTTATAAAACCCAGTATTACATGTTACCAAGACAAAGCAAAGTTAGTGCTTTTGTTTTTCCTGTATACGAAAATATCTGGTATTTTCCTATGCAGTAAAAACAGCTCTATAACAGCTAAGATAGTATCATTTTCAGTAAAATAGTAACTTCTAAATTTATTGTAAGAAGTATTTACTCTTTAAAGCATCACATTACAACCCAAAATTTTCTCATTTTCTATCACAAAAAATTCTTCATTGATTTTACCATTACCACAGTAAAATAAATGGCCAAATGAATTATCTTAAAGATCTCAGAATTTTCATTACAAACTGACTTTAGTATCTCCTTAGGAAGCAGCTATACTTTTTCAACTAAATCTTCTTGATGAGCTAAGTGACTGCCAGAAAATAATTAGGAACAGTTCTTCCAGTGTTTTCTTAAAATATAACAAGGAAAATTATGTTTTGTTGTGTTTTGTTTTGGAGACAGTGTCTCACTATATAGTTCAGGCTTGCCCTGAACTCACTATTTCACCCAGGCTGGCCTCAAACACACTTCAATCCTCCTGCCTCAGCTTCCCAAGTACTGGAGTTAATAGGCATACAACCACCATGCCCAACTTGGAAATTATGTTTGTTTAGGGGCTGGAGATTTAGCTCAGTGGCAAAGCGCCTGCCTGGCAAGCGCAAGGTCGTGAGTTCGGTTCCCGGTACCGGAGAAGAACCAAAAAAATAAAAAAATAAAAAAATAAAAAATTATGTTTGTTTGTTTGTTTTTTCCCCGGTACCAGGAATCGAACTCACGATGTAGCGCTTGCCAGGCAGGCGTTGTGCCACTGAGCTAAATCCCCAGCCCCTGGAAATTATGTTTTTTAAAAAGTCTAATTTTGGACTACTTAACTTGGATAGCTACTGTTAATAAAATTTCCCCACTTAAAGTTATAACACTATGTTCAGCTTTCAGGATAAGGATTCAAACTTCTGACCCTATGAAGACACTCTACCACACTTCAAAGAAGCAAAACACAGCTAATAGCCTGAATCACTATCACCCTGAGGCAGTAACAGCTTACCCTACTGTTTTGAGTCAAAGTGCATATCACAAAGTGGCATTTAACCTGCTACTGATAACTGATGCAACACCATCCCGACAATGCTTAGAGAAAAAGTAATTTTTATTGTCTATACATCTCCTTTGGAAAGTTTAAACTTTGGTCATCTGCTCTCTAGCTATTAACTTCCCATTTATCTCAATCCAATATTAACATGTCTAGACTCTTTAATCTTTAAGATGATTTTAATTTTCTTGTTGGTTTCAATGACCTAAACCTTTGATTATTTAAAAATGGGGAAACATTTTAAAAACTCATTAATATAGTATGGCATCAGAATTACACAATCAGATGAAACACCAAAGGCTGCTTTGAAAAATCATTACACTAGCTTTTGCTTTCTTTCCAGTAATTTAATATAAGCAATGTGGCATCATACAGGCAAGTTTCTACAAAGTGAAATTTTCAAATGGCTTACTTAAGTATGATAAATGAACTCAGACCAAAGATAAAAGTTCACTTTCCCAGCCAGGCATGGTGGCACACGCCTGTAATCACAGCACTGGGGAGGCTGAGGCAGAAGGATCATTGCAAGTTCAAGGCCAGCCTGGGCTACAAAGTGAGCTCAAGGGCAGCCTGAACTGCATAGCGAAACCCTGTCTAAAAAAGACAAAAAAAAAAAAAAAAAAAAAAGTTTACCTTCCCAATCCTGCAACACAATGCACTGCCACACAGCAACCTGGCTCTTCACGAAATTTGGTTTTTAACAGGTTCAGCCAATCATCTACTATCTGATTAGGGGGTGGAGCTCCATCATCAAATGGCCAATCCTGAAAAGACATTGGTAGAGAAATTATATTAAATTGATATTTTCTGCGGGACTAATATCCTAATACAAAAGAGTTGTACATTGTAGAGAAGGCAGGCCTAACTCATCTATACTATAAATATCTATTATCACAAATCTGATCATTGCTGAAAAATTATCCGACTGAATTTAAATGTGCCAAATAAATCAGCCTCCTTAACAAAATGTAATCTCTGTCACATGTATCTAAACTTATTTTACAAAAATCTCTATCAGAGTCATTATAAGTAGTAATTAGATGTAACAGAGAAAGCTGTAATTAAAGCCAAAACCAAGTAAAAGGACAAATACCTGCTAATAAGATTTAAATGTCCACTTTGGCAAAAAGGACCACCTGGAATCTCACTGGTCTCTACAAGTATTTTTGAAGATCATCTCCCAAATGACTTCAAGTGACACATTTTCTTTAGAGAAAGACTCAATACTATCTCCAAGAACTAGTGAATCTAGGCCATGCATGGTGGTGCACACCTATAATCCCAGCACTTAGGAGGCTAAGTGAAGAGGACTGCTGTGAGTTCAAGACCAGCCTGAACTATATAATGACATCTTGTGTCAAAACAAAAAAAAAAATTTAGTGAATCTAATAGAAACACACTCTTTGTGCTTATTAAATTTTTTTTTAAAAGGGGCAGGTACCCAATTTTTAAACCTCTGCCTATGTTACACATATCCCATTTAACAAACACCACATGATTAGTTCCTGAGCAAATGGAGGACATTTTTCCAAGTAACCCTTTCTTTTTAGATTCATCAATTTGGGTTGTCTTTCAACCCCATGTACATTTATTACAGGGGCAGAAATGTATCTTCTTTGCAAGAGGCCCTAAGAAATCAATACATGTAATCCCAGCACTTGGGAGGCTGTCAGGAGGATCATTGTGAGTTCAAGACCAGCCTGGGCTATGAAGTGAGCTCAAGGCCATCCTGAACTGCAGAGCAACACCCTGTCTCAAAAAGACAAAAAAAAAAGAAAGAAAGAAATCAATACAAATGTATGGGACTCATTTTACAGACTTTCTCTTCTCCCAAGAACAGAAATACTAGTTGGAAATTTTTTAAAGACATAAAGCGGGGCTGGGGATATAGCTCAGTGGCACAAGCGCCTGCCTGGCAAGCGCAAGGTCCTAAGTTCAAATCCTGGTACAAAAAAAAAAAAAAAAGACATAAAGCTACTCTAATGAGTCTGAATAAGAACACTTTAAGATACTAGAGAAGGAACAAGAAAAGCAACAGTGCACTAAATTGATTCTGCACTCATTACTGCAACCACGGGAACACTTCAGGTAGCCCATTAGCCACAACAGCACATTATGTTTGAATTGTGAACTACGCCCCAAAATTAAGGAGCTGTCAGTGTTATTATAAATGTCACTACAGAGTTTAACTGTAAATAGCAATAAAACCTATAAGCACCTTAGTGAAGAGTCTCCTTTAATACTCCCTAAAATGCCTTGTTAAGAAACAACTTATAAAAAAGCATTATTTGTTTAGAAATATCTGAAACTCAAGCTGACATAATCAAAACTACCATTAAAAACCACCTTTCGTCTATTCCAAAGTGCCTTTTTTTTTCTTTCTTCTTTCTTTCTTTCAAAACAGGGTCTTGCTATGTAGTCCAGACTGGCCTTGAATTTGCTATATAGCCGAGGTTGGCCTTGAACTTGTGGCAATTCTCCTGCCTCAGCCTTCCAAGTACTGGGATTACAGGCATGCGCCACCACACCTGGCTCCGATGTGCCTTTGATTTGAGACAGCATTCAAAAGATTGAAAAGATCTTATTCTCTTATGTTCCAAACTCTCTTCACCATGCAAACATAAATTAACTCCATTAAAGCACTGTATGGGAAAAGGAAATTCCACACTTAACACTAACTGCCCTTTATTTTTTCATCAAGCTTAAGTTAGACCTTTAATTTCATCTGATCACAACTATTTAAAAGAAAACAAAAAGCTCTATTTAAAGGCCTGGAATAAATCCCAGATCTACCATTATCTTCCACAAACTAGTTCAGGTTCTTTAGTTCACTTCTATTTCACAAATGTGTTTACCAACATTACTGATTCAAAGAGACTATGGTCAATCCAAAGTCATTTTCTCACCCTGTCACATATCAAAACAAGCTAATTTCTCATCTACCCGCTGCAGACCATAAACACAATACAGGGAAATGAACTTGTATTCAGCTAGTTTCTAATTTTAAATTTAAAAAAAAAATTTAAAAACCAGAGCTGCACTTTACATCTAGACTTATCTCCAGTGATTTCCAGCCCATGAGCTATTTAAAATGGAAACATAAGCATATTATTATCATGACAAACTAATAAAACATTTTTAAAAACAATGTTTGGCTGTTTGTTGCTTTTACCAAAACAGGTAGATCAGACATGAGATGGCTAATGCCAATAGGAAATTTATTACTTACATAAACTGCCTTCCCAATTGCCACCAATGTAATGGTCTACAGAACTAACCACCTTTCAGTAACAAATATGAACATGACCTTGAACTAATACCTTCCTTCTTACTTTCATCCTACATGATTACCTATAAGATACACAGTTCTTCTCCTACTACACTACCTTCCTACAATCACATCAAATAGCTCTGACACCTAAGACTATGAGGTAATTTCATTAAATGATCCTAAAAGCAACTCGTATGACTTAGACAACTATTTAGGGAAGAAAATTAAAAATTTTAACTAATCTAAAGTTCCTGTTTTCTCTAACGAAACAGGATACTTAGGTAATAAAGAGAAATTCAAAATAATTCAAATCACTTTGTGTTCAAATAGAGTTATAAAAGAAATCTAGCTTCTGCAGAAGCCAAGCATGGTGGCACACACTTATAATCCTAGCACTTGGGAGGCTGGTGACAAAGAGTGCCTGGTTATAGTCGGGCATGGTACTGCACGCCTGTCCCAGCACTCTGCTAGGATAAAGCAGAAGAATCACAAGTCCCAGCCCAGTCTGGGCAATTTAGTGAGATCCTTTCTCAAAACATAAAAAACCAGCTGGAAGTGGAGCTCAGTACAAAGCTCCTAGATTCAACCCCCAGTACTATACACATACACCCCAAAAAAGCTTATGGAAATTACTTTCAGGTAATTTAAATTAATAGCCTAGGAACAAAAGCTAAATAGTACATTAATTTCCCAAATGCAAATTTCCATTTTCTTGAGATGTTATGCACTAAATTTTGCTTTTTATTTGTTGAAAATACTCTGCATTTGTAGATTTTAAAAACACAACTAAACAAAACTGTCAATGTATTAAGCCAAAGGAATTTTAAAAGATCACTGCCAATACTTCATCTCCTATCATAACCTTAAGTAAGAAGCAAAATTACTGGGTGTCAAGTTATATAAGTATCTTTGAAAGGTACAACTTATTTGTAGTGGAAAAATAAAATACTACACACTCACTAGAACGTGGATTCCTTCTTTTTCAACTGGAGCTTTATCATAGGTAGCATCACAAACTCGAACCAAAGTTGTCACTCCATACTTCTTGAGTTCCTTCAAAGAAAAATAATTATAAGGGAACTTACTTTTGGAACCTGAAACCAAAGCTTCAGAAATGTACCATTATAAATTGAAACAATGAGATATCATTCTTAGACAAAGATTAAAATTGTTCTCAATTCGGGAGGCTGAGGCAGGAGGGTCTTGTGAGTTTAAGAACAGCCTAGGCTACAAAGTGAGCTCAAGGCCAGCATGAACTACACAGTGAGACCCTCTCTCAAAAAGAAAAAAAAAAAATCAACCAAAACTAGAATTGTTCTCATTGTTGCCAGGTGAGGTGGAACATGCCTGTAATCCCAGCACTCGGGAAGATCACAGTGTGTTCAAAGGCAGTCTGTGCTACACGGTGAATTCAAGATACAGAAATGCCATCCATTTTAACACTGTTAATTTGCCAGCCTTAACAACAGTTGGGACCAGGGACATATACTTCAGTGGCACAGTGCCTGCCTGGCAAGCGTGAGGTCCTAAGTTTGATTCCTGGTACCCCCACCCTAGAAGAATGCTACTGCAGACAAATTATTTAAAGGTGTAAAACAGCACTGCAAGACCCTGTCTCAAAAACAAACAAATTATCGTTCTCATTATAAGTTAACATATATATAATGAACACTTAAAACATTGAACAGAAGGTAAATAAGGCTCATCTTACTTTTCTTTTGCAGGGGAGGTTTAAGACAAGGTCTCACTGTGTAACTCAGGTTGGCCTAGAACCTTCAGCAATTCTCTTGCCTCAGTTTCCCATGTGCAGGAATTACAGGTGTGTGTCACCACACTCAGTTTAAGACTCACCTTTCTAAAGAACAATTTGGTAGTGTAACACAAAAACTGTTTACATATACTTTGACCTAGAAATTCTACTTCTGGTAATGTATACACAGGAAATAATTAAAACATATACGAGATTTAAGTACCAGCATGTTCACCACAGACTGTATGCAATGGTAAAAAGATGGAAACAAAGAGTATTACAGTCCAGAAACAAGGGAACGGTTATAGAAAGACATATCCACACAGTGAATACCACAACAGCTATGAAAATAATGCTAAGGAGGTTGGGGAAATACTTTTTAAAATATGTATTGTGATCTTCTCTGTATAAATACATACACAAATGCACACACACAAAAAAATCTAGAAGCTAGGTATTAACAATTAAGTTTAAACTGTCTTGTTTTGCTTTTCTGGAGAGGGTACGTGGTATATTAGCAGCCAGACATGGTGGCACACATCTGTAATACTAGCACTGGGGAGGCGGAAACACGAGGATGGTTGATAGTTCAAGACCAGTCTGGGCTACAAAGTGAGCTGGAGGCCACCCTGAACTGCATAGCGAGACCCTGTCTCAAAAAGACTAGATAGATAGATAGATAGATAGATAGACAGACAGACAGATAGATAGATAGACAGACAGATAGACAGATAGATAGATAGATAGATAGAGGAAGGGAGGGAGGGAGAGGGAGAGAAAGAGAGAAAAGAGAGAAAAGAAAGAAAGAAAGAAAGAAAGAAAGAAAGAAAGAAAGAAAGAAAGAAAGAAAGAAAGAGAGAGACAGACATCTAATGTACAGTTATAGCCCTTGCTCCTTTAAAACCCTTCCTGCAGTGAGTGCCTGAACCAATAGCTACTTGTCTTCAAGGGGCCACCATCTTTTTACAGTAGTATCAGAGTAGCCTTTGCCGCTTTTGGAGTCCATAACCAAGGAATCCACAGGAGAAACAGTGTCACATAACTCTACCAGATTTAAAGGTTACTGAACAACCTGAGGCCTTACAGACCTGAAATCAACTTTTACACTGTATACATGAAATTAAGAACATCCAAGAATCCTAAGTATAACATAAGCAGGAACAGTGCTTGCTATGGCAGCACATATAATCAAAAAAGCAGGAATAGTGATTAGAAAGTATCTACTATTCAGTTTTCTCATGAATAAAGTTATTTTAATTGCTAAGAGACTGATACAAAACTGACAATGTTATACTGAGTTAGGAGTTTTGTGTTTCAAATAAAATCACAAAAGTACAAATGAAATCATATTAAAATGGTGCATGCACCTGGGAGGCTGAGACAGAAGGACAGTCACGAGTTCAAGGCCAGCCTGGGCTACACAGTTGAATTCAAGGCCACCCTGACCTACACAGGTGAGACCTTGACTCAAAAACACCACCACCAACAAAAATAACATTAAAATGAACTTTATATTTGTCATTCATTGAAAAGCTGTGGTTTTGTTTATTTTTAATGGGAAGAATTTGTGACCAAATGTTATTTTTAATACTGAAAATATGACCAAAAAACCTGTTAATAAATGTAGAAAGGGGAGGCAGGGATATAGCTCAGTGGCACAGCACCTGCCTGGCAAGCATGGGGCTCTGAGTTTGATTCCCAGTACCAAAAAAAAAAAAAAAAAAAAAAAGGACACAGAAAAACCATAGTACTAGATAATTTCTACAATATTCCCAAATTCCATAAATGCTGTTTCAAAAATTCACTGTAACTAACTCAAAACAACTTAAGCCAGGATTATTGGGCTAGCCGTTCATATTCCAATCACAGGGATTTTTTTTCTTTGTAGTGCTAGGGATTAAACCTAGAGCCCTGTGCTTATAGGCTGGCAAGTACTTTACCACTGAGCTACACCACAGCCTTCCAATTATAGGGATTTTTGTTGTTTTTTCGGTTTTTTTGCAGGGGGGTGGGTTGTTTGCTTGTTTGTTTTGAGACAGGGTCTCACTACGTAGCTCAGGCTGACCTAGAGTTCCTGGTGATCCTCCTGCCTCAGCCTCCTAAGTGCTGGGATTACAGGAATGAGCCACAAGAGGCTGGGATTGTTTTTGAACAGTGTTAATTTGCAATTTTTAACCTATAAATCAATGCCCAAAAGATTAAGCCACAATCTTACCTCTGTGAACTTGTTGAGAGTAGCATTGGTAGGGTTATGCGTTATCAGAAAACGCATGTTCTCATAGGAGATCTCCACAGGGGCTGGACGGTTCATTATGACAAATAAAAAGTGTGAGTGTGCGTGTGAAGAGTGTGATGGGGAAAATGAAAAAAAAAAAAAAAAATCAACAAATCTTGAAATGTTTCACAGCAGAAAACATTAAAAGGACCACTAAAATGCCTAATATCGATCAGTATTTTATCTATTCAACTTGTTTATTCTTTACGAGGCTTCTCTTCAAGATAAACAGAAGTATTTAGAATCCACTTGAATCCAAATTCAAATTAGGCCTCAATGTCTGCAGATGGATACCTTCAGACTCCAAAAAACTCCAACTACATACAAAACGTAAGCAGCCTTTACTACATTTAGGCACTAGTGAGACAAGTTAAAAGTGTAGGTCGTTTTCCACTTTCGTTTACTTGATGCTTAATTTTACTGGAGTCATTAAAAGAAAATGCTTGCAATAAAAAAAAAAAAAAAAAAAAAAGACAACTATTTCAGAGGCCAGTCTCGGTGTCCAGAGTCTTCAAGGCAATGTTAATTATGGCACATAGAATCCCCAAGCTCACTTGTCAGCGAAAACGCTGTGCTGAGCCTGGCAGAAGTCTGCCCTCACGCTCAGAATCGCCATAAATGTGCAACGTATATTCCAACGAAAAACCTGAGGGAGGAAAGCATAAAGAAAATAAAATAAGGTTGACAACATAGTGAACACAATGTCTTAAGTCAAGAATAAAATACTTAAAAGCCAAAGACATGTGAAATGTTACCAATTCTAAACTACTGCCATCTATGCCATGGAGAATAGGATAAAGAGGTATACCAAGAGTTTTAAATAATCAGAAACTCAAAAAGGATGTCTTTCTTTTTTCAAAACTGGTTCAACTGCTGGCCATGGTGGTGCACACCCGTAATCCCAGCACTCAAGAGGCTGAGGCAGGAGGTTCACTTCAAGTTCAGACCATCCTGAACCAAGAAAGTTCAAGGCCAGACTGAACTACATAGTGAAACTCTGTCTCAAAAGAAAAAGAAACAAAAAAAAAGAAAAAAAACTGGTTCAGATTACTCTTTTTTTTTTTTTGCAGGAATGGAAATCTAGTTCAGAAATAATTTTTGTTGTTTGTCAAAACAAGACCTTGCTATGTACCCTAGGCTGGGTTTAAAACTTGTGACCCACTGGGCATGGTGGTACACGCCTATAATCCCAGGACTCAGGAGGCTGAAGCAGGAGGATCTCTGTGAGTTGAGGCCAGCCTCGGCTACATATAAGGGAGCCTGCACTATATAGTGAGACCCTGTCTCAAAAACAAACAGACAAACAAACAAAAAACCTAAAGCTAAACTTGTAAATAAATCAGACACACGTGTGAATACCACATTGTTTCTCTGGTATAAAAACCAAAAGTGTAAATAAGGACCAAAATGTATTTTGAAATAGGAGGAAAATATCCAAATGGGGAGGGGAACAAGAAAGAGGGGAGGAGGAAAGGAAAGAAGGGGAAAGTAAAAAACAATGAGAAAAGAAGGAAAGCATGGAAACAAAGCTTTGTACATAAGAGGAGGAAGGGCTGAAGGGACGGTAGGGGGGTAGGGGGAAAAACAAGTTTTATCATGTACAGGTACAAATTCTCTATGGTGAATGTGATGACTATGTATAGCTAAAATGCACCAATAAAATATAATTTTTAAAAAGGGAAAAAAAAACTAAAGTTGTGATCCTCTGCCTTAGCCTCCAGTTGCTGGGATTACAGACATGCTCTACCACACCCAGCTCTTTATGAGCTTTTATAAAAAGGGTCTATAGAGGGAAGGCTTCTTTTAAGTACCGTTAACCATTTTTAAATTTTTTTAAATGAACCTAGGTGTGGCCTGAGCTCAATTCAAACTGAAGTCTTATGCTGGACGTGTGTTTTTTCCAATGTATCACCAATGCCTGCTGACTGAACTAGTGCATAAATCCCATCTTCTCATTTCTAGTCCAATTTACCTTTATTTTTCACATTACTGCCTCAAAAGTACAAAACTATCCAAAGGTCACTGATTTACACAGTATTCTGCTCCCCCGCTATTAACCCTACCCAGATACAAGGCAAGAAAAAGAAGTAGCAAAATTTTAAATATTATTTTAGGCCTGCTGCTCTGAAACACAGTAATTTTTACAGCTGGATCATGCTGAGAATATCAATGTAATCATAAATTCCTCTGGAAACACAGACAAGGTCAGAATTCTTATACTTGCCTCTTTCCTAAACCACCAATAAGACCATTTCCTCTGCCTGACACACCTAAGACCCTGTGTTACAGCTGAGCAGGCCAAAAATAGTCCAGGTTCTTTTGTACCACAATTTAACTGTACTACCTGCATCTGATTACCCAGTACCACAAAAGTAACAAACAAAAGTCTGTAAAAAGGATTGTGACCAGATAGAAAGATATGAAAGATACTGGCTATTTCAGTACAAAGCAAACACAGACAAGAACTTAAGGCCTATCAACTTTCAAATCTATCCTAAAGCCTTCTTTTAGTGATAACTTTATAGGTATTCTTACTGGTATTCTTATTTTGTAAGTTGAATACTTGTGGTACTACCATGGATACAAACACAAAACTAAAACTTTCCTAAAATATGAAAGATACACATGAAATTCAAAAGAATTAAGAACTTAAATAATACTAGCCAGAGATGGTGCTCCATACCTACATCCCAACCCTAGGAGGCTGAGATAGAAGGATCACAAGTTTGAGCCCAGTCTGGGCAACTTTGGGACTTAGGGATACTCTGCCTCAAAACCTTAAAAAAAAAAAAAAAAAAAAAAAAAAGTTTAAAAAGGCTGAGGATGTAGCTCAATGCAAAGGAAGAATTTAAATAATACCTCAGAATAAGTTACCCACTACTGTAAAAATATAAAACTTTCACTCAAAACTAAGAAAGCCAAAAATAACAGCACCACTTTTCCTAACTCTAATTTCAACTATAACCTCAAAACACATTGAAGTATACATAAAAACATTTTATAGAGTACTCCTTGTATAGTCCAGGAACTTCAGAACTAGGAGAAAGGTAAAATATGAAGTACTCCTGGCCAGGTGTGAAAGAACATGCCTATAATCCTAGCACTCAGAAGGCTGAGGCAGGAGGATTCAGGCCAGCCTAGGCTATTTAAAGTAGTGAGTTCAAGGCCAGCCTAAACTACAATAAACTACCCAGACTTTTAAAAGCCAAAATAAAGATATTTAGGGTTCAAAAAAGTTAAGGTAAGTTAACTAAGACCATACTGCTAAATATAGCAAATCCAGGACAGGACCCCAGGAAGACCCCAGGTCTTCCCAAAATTATTGTTCTTTCAATTATGGAGGCAGCCATATATTTTTCAAGTCACAATCCTTTTCATTTGAGTGTAACTTTTCTTCAACTATCTTTGGATGACCATCTGCAACTTTGTGACTTTATAAGTGGACAAGATTATTAAAATAACTACTCAAAGAACAACGGCTTCCATGCACTACAGAGCAAAACGCAAGGAAATTCTAACCTGTTTGAATCCCTGTGGTTTGAGGATGTAATCACATCTAATGTGTGTCAGCTGGGTAAAGGCAACGAAAGGCTCACATTGTGGTAGTGACCAGACTTAAAAGGTTACAGCTCTAGCATTTAAATGTTCTACCTAGTCAAGTAGTGTTTGCTCAGCAAATACAACAAGCTTTATCCCCTCTTGTTTCTCCAACCTCATTTTGGGAGAACCATTTTCAAGGGTAAGAATAAATCATTATTAGATTTTCAGTTCTTAATACTGAGAGCCCCAACAAACAATTTTTCTGCCAAAAGGAACAGTATGTTCTATCGATGCTAAATACATGCTAAAAAAGCAAGTTTCATTGGGCATGGTGGCACATGCCTATAATCCCACAACTGAAAGGCTCAGGGAGGAGGATGGCCAGGAGTCTGAGGCCAATCTAGACTAAACAGTGAGACCCTGTATCAAAAACAAAACAAAAAAAGAACCTCAATCAAACCAACAACAAAAAAGCAAGTTTCTGTTTCCTGCCCCCGCAAGAGTCCAACTATACATCAACAGTAAAATCTTTGCACCTGTCAGTTCAGCTAAACCAACATTAACTCTGGTGACACACTTAAGAATGCAAATTAAACAGACTGTAAAAAAATCATAAACAATCTACTGAAGTTGGAAAGTACTCAAAAGTTACAAAGCCTGTATTTTAGCATAAATTCTGTACCTGTACAACATTCGGGAAAAACTTTCTTGTAAAGTGCTCTCTGACATTAATTCTGCTCTACCTATGTAGGTAAAAACTGGTTATTGGGCTGGCGTGCGACTCAATGATAAATCAGGTGTTCTGTGTACTCAAGGTCCCAGGATCAATCTCCAGTATCACTCTCCCCGCCAAAATTGTTTACCAGGTGTTGTTTTACATGATACATGACATATAGCAGTCAAATTCAAATATGCACCTAAATATTCTTTTATCTTTCATAGAGCCTATCTTTAAAAAATGTTTTATTTGAGACATATCCATTTCCTACGCAATATTTCAACAGAATATAACAATCTTTAACAAAAGAATATATTCAACAATTTTTAACAAAAGAATATAACTTCACTGAAGATTAGAAAGGATGGCCTGTGGCAGAGATACTCTTCAATTAAGAAGGAGAAAGGGAAAACACAAAAAGGAAAAAAATTAATAAAGGGAAGTGGAAAAAGAGCAAGTAAGCACAGTCCTAACAAGCTCACATAGGGCACACTGATCAATAAGTGACACGAGACTACTTAAAACTTTGCAGAAGTGTATCTCAGCATTTAAATGTCCAATGCCAATATTCTGCTGTTAATATCTACCTAGATAAGAATGCAAAACCAAATGCACGAAACAAGAGAATAGCTATTATTTAAATATGGCACAATCTTAAAATGGGAAACTATGCATAAGTTAAAAAATATAACAAATCTGTTGGGCATGGTGGCACATGCTTATAATACCAGCCACTGGGGACCACAAGTTCAAGGCCAGTCTAAGCAATTTAACAAGACCTTGTATCAAAGTAAAAAATTAAAAAAACAGCTAGGGATATAGCTCAGTGATACAGCACTTACCAAACATCTGTGAGGCCCTGGATTCCCAGTACCATATTAAAAAAAGACCTATAATGAACTGATATGGAAAGAGGACTAAAAGACACTACTAAGCAAAAAGACCAAGGTGGCTGACGGTGTATTTAGAAATATTTGTGAGTACTCTATACGCTTTCAGAACTATGGACTATCTGAAAGATTCCAAAGGTAAGAGAGTAACAGTGGTTTCTCATCAGTGGGGAGGACAGGACTGGAGAAGGAAGGTCAAAACTATAATTTTCTTTACATTAACATATACTTTTTGAACAGTTTTAATTTTTTGCATGCATATATTGCTTTTTAAAATTCTAGATTGATAAAGAATCCCATAATGATTTAACTACATTTTTAACAGAGAATTAGCAAAAAAGCTCTAGAGGGGTTCTGTCCCACACAGGTGCCCAAGCAAGCCCATAACTACACAATTCTATGAAGTTTTCACTTTTGTTAAAAATAGTAAGAGAAATTCATGCCCCACCTTAGCAACTATAATTCTAAATTCAAACATAAGTACAGTAAATGCAAAGG